CTCATGTTCGGCATCCCTTAGCAAGGATTCCTCCGCGTTGGTGCCAGAAGTTCATGAGCAAGGGCGCGGCGACAGACCCCGAGGGAGAGGACGAAGACATCGAGGGCGGGGAGAGCGAGGACGCGGAGGAGGACGAGGAGGAAGAGGAGGTTCCTGGCGAGGGCGCTGCGGCACCAGCAGTGGCTTCGCCAAACAGGAGCAGGCCACTGGGCATGAAGGTCCTCAAGAGCGACCTCTTCGTGCCGCTCGAGGTCAAGGACGGCTGGCGCCTAGGGTTCGCGGAGAACATCGAGGCTTGCACTCTCGATTATGGTCATGATGATGATCATGATGATGATGATGATGATGATGATGATGATGATGATGATGATGTTGATAATGGTGATGACGATGATGATGATGATAATGATGATGGTGGTGGTGATGGTGATGATGGCGCTGATGGTGGTGATGCTGGTGATGATGATGATGATGGTGATGATGATGGTGATGATGATGGTGATGATGGTCGTATTGAGCTGCTGGGTGATGATGACTACGCTTATGAAGCTTCTGATGCGCACGATGCTGATGGTGGTAGTGATAATGATGACGATGGTGGTGACGACGATGATGGTGATGGTGATGATGCTGATGATGATGATGATGATAAGGAGGAGGAGGAGGAGGATGTGGATGAGTTCACCGTCGTACCATCTCCTCTCGAAACAACTCTCCCTCTCAGGCTGCGTGGCGCATCAGCGAGGCCGACCCCAAGGCGGAGGCCGAGTACAAGCCAGTCGTCCGCGTCGCTGGGGTGAGCGAGATGGTGGCTCGCTGGGATGACTACGAATGGAGAGTGCCGGGCACGAACTCAGCGGAGCTCGAGGTGAAGTCGGACCTGCACGTGAAGACCATCGTGCAGCAGAACACTGGCGTCAAGCTGACGCTGACCTTCGTGCAGAAGAAGGACAAGAGGTGGATGACGATCTGGAAGAACTTCGGCCAGAGGGGCGCGAAGTACAAGCCTGAGGAGAGGATGAGCCAGTACATCCAGATGGTTGGCTACAAGAACGAAGAGGCTGCGAAGCTCGTGATGATCAGGATCATCGATGCGCTGGGCAGCCTCACCATGGACAAGGCGGCGGCGGAGGAGGCCAAGAAGGAGTTCCTCTGCAGCGAGGGCGGCAGCATCAAGAAGCGCCCAGCGGCCTTCAAGGAGGTGATGCTCAAGCGGCCTGCCAAGGACTACAGGTAAAATCACACCTGCACAATCCCAATCCATGAATCAACCTCTCAACTATTATTATAGACGCTTCGCGTATCCTGGCCAGCCGATCCAGAAAAGATGTCCAGGCGAGTTGAGGCGCTCAGGGAAATGCAGGAGCAACGACGTGGACGGCCGAACCGTGCGCATGAGGGAGGAAGAAAAGGAGGAGGCTGGATGGATAGATATATGAGGGAGTGGGATAGATAGATAGGATGATGAGGGGTAGGAGGAAAACAAGGAGTAGGAGGAGGCATGGTGGAACAGGAGGAGGGCAAGCGAAAGGGCTAGAGGTCTCTTGGGTGCCTCGCGGAGCCTCTTGTGATATCTCTTGGCCGCTTCTTGGAGGTCTCTTCGGACGTCTCGGAGGCCTCTTGGCGGTCCTTGAGGGCTCTTGGGCGTCTTGGGTGCCGCGGGTAGGCCTCTCGGGGCCGCTTTGGGTCCTCCTGGTGCCTCCTGGGTGTCTCTTGGAGCCATATTGGAGCCATCTTGGGGCAACCTCTGGGCCCGTGGCGCCTCCTGGGCGTCCTCTTGGGGCCATCTTGGGGGAGATTGATCAACGAAAGGGAAGGTCGCAATTCGCGCTGCCACTCGAGGGCCCCCCGAAAACCAGCATGGGGTCAACGCCGTAATGAAACCAATGATGTTGGCTCCCTCGCCGAGGCCGCGTTGAACGCCCAAACGACCCGCGAGACGCCCCGTCCAGGTCAGGGGTGGGGGGCACGGGGGAAGGGGTAAACCCCTCCACGAAGGGGGGAGGGAAGGGTGGCAGAAGAAACCAACTAAACCACCTACGCCCAGAAGACTGGTGGTATTACTCTCTGACTCAAGCCGTGATTAATGGCTGCTGTTCTCCCCCCAAACCTCCCACAAAGCTCCCCCTCCTCATCATCCCCTTCGCCCTGTCAAATCCTCAGGCGTTCTTCAGTCGCTCTTCATCCCGCCAACCTCCCCTTCAATTGTTATCCCGCTCTCTCCCGCGCCCCAGGACGTCGAGCAGGCCAGCCTGGCCAAGAGGAAGAAGGTCGACGACGACGACAGCAACGCCGAGAGCAACGACGAGAAGTCGGCCGAGGCGTGCGAGGAGGAGGAGGAGGAGGAGGAGGAGGAGGAGGAGGAGGAGGCGGCCCCAGCGACGAAAGCTGCTGCTCCAGCGAAGGCTGCCGCTCCAGTGACGAAGGCCGCTGCTCCAGTCATGAAGGCAGCTGCTCCAGCGACGACGGCTGCTGCTCCAGTGACGACGGCTGCTGCTCAGAAGAAGGCTGCTGTTCAGACGAAGGCTGCTGCTCCAACGACGGCTGCTGCCTCAGTGATGAAGGTTGCGTCGGTGCCGAAGCTGGCGCCGTCTGCTCGCAGCATTCCAGGTGGCTTGTTTGATTCTTTTTGAGTGCCTGATCGGCGATAAACGATCGATCAGGACAGCGTTTCTTCTCTCGAGTGGGGAGGAGTGGCTCCCCCGCACCTCGAGCGCTCGGCCACCCGCTCGATGCCTATCGTTTCTTCGGGCGACGGGTGGCCGACGGGTCCTCGGCCTGGGGCTCCCAGGCAAATTGCATTGCCAGTGCCACGCGCGTGCAGCGATACATCAAGCTGCGCACAGTGGCCGTCGTTTGCATTGAACTCTGGACCAGTGCAAGAACGCTTCTGGTCAGTGGTGAAGAGACTACGCTCACTCGTCATCCCTCCCATCCTCATCCTCCTCCTCCTCCTCCCTATCCTCCTTCCCATTCTCCTCCTCCTGATTCGCCACATCGGAATGAGCATATGCAGCAGGGGGCCATGAGGGAGAGCTCCCGTTCGAGACATCCGAACAGTTCATTAACTACACTAGGTTGTAACTGTATGTAGTATAGGCTGTGCATGTAGGCATAACCATGCAACAATCAAAACAAACAAACAATACCAGCATGACGTCAAGCAAGCACACAGAACGCACACCATACAAACAAGCAACAACAAAACGCTCGAGACGTCCTCAATGGTCATGCCAAAAGCGCCCGAACACTACGACATCTATACGACGTAAACAACACGCTAAGATTAGAACAGTGGGGTGAGACCCGTCAACGGGTGAGTAGCGTGAAGAAGGTTAGAAACACAACACGCCACGAAACAACCGTACTGGCAGCAATTGTGGCCCAAGCTGTTGAGGTGAGGATTGAGGTTCCGTATCCGTCACAGCAGCCAGCGGGACACTGCGCTACCTGCAGCATGGCCAGCCAGGTCAGCGACAGGGGGAGCTCAGTGGTGATGGGCCCGAACATGACCGAGCTGATGGCTGGGGACCGTTGCCCGAGCCCTGCCGAAGTGGAGGAAGCGCAGAGGTTGGACGATGAGTTCTTCGCGGGTCGCAGTGCTGTCGGCGCTGACGCAGCAGTCGAGTCAGACGATGCGCCGCTGGTTGTGGAGCCAACATCGGCAGCTCCCAAGTCCGAGAAGCGCACGGCAGATGTCGACCTGACCATGGACGATCTGGAGGTGGCCTTGATGGAGAGCACCAAGACAGCCGAGGTCGAGCGCGAGAAGAGAGCGAGGGACGAGGAGAAGATGAGTCAGGAGGAGGAGCAGGCGCTGGCAGAGAGCAAGGACCTCTTCAAGCGCAAGAGAGGCTATTCCCCAAGCCCAGCACGCGAGCCGTGCCCTCGCGGCGTGTCTAGCGCGAGCGGCGCGGCACCATCGGCAGCAGCAGGGTCTCAGACGCCAGACGGAGCGGCTGTAGCAGAGCCTCCAGATGTCGACAAACTTTCCAAGGATGAGCTCTCGTTCCTGCTGAGCGAGTTCTTCAAGAAGAACATCAAGTGGAACAAGGAGGACTGCGCGAAGGCGTTGGTGCGCATGCCGGTCGTTGGCGCCGATCCCCCGCAGCGCGCTGGCATCGAGCCTCCCGTGCAGCCTCGCAGCCGCAGCCGCAGCCGTGGGCTGCCCCAGACAATGCAGGACAAGGACGAGAAGACTCACGACGGCGAGGAGGTTCCAGCAGCCCAAGGACGCCGAGAAGTACAACATGGCAGTGACAGCGCCGCAGCTGAGGACCGAGGGCAAGGAAATCTGAGAGGGGGGCACCGCGAAACCCATACCCAGAAAGCTACAGAGAGGGAGAGGGACAGAGAGAGAGCGAGAGCGAAATCCAACGGTGTTCCAATGTGTGCAGAATTACGTTTCAGTTGTGCCACACTAAGATTTGTGACATATTCAATGCAAATCCAATGACAATCCAATGCAATTCCAACGCAAATCCAACGCAAATCCAACGCAAATCCAACGCAATTCCAACGCAAATCCAACGCAAATCCAACGCAAATCCAATGCAAATCCAATGCAAATCCAATGCGAATCCTATGCGCATCGAATGTTGGCGCGGTGAGCCGCTGCGTTCAGGGATAGGGCAGTGTTGAACAGCAACACATGTTAATAAGCAGGGACGAGTCTCAAATGGATGAGGAGGATAAGGAAGGAAGAGAGAGAGAGAGAGAGAGAGAGAGAGAGAGAGGCGGCGACAAGATAGGAGGAAAAACCGAGGATACATGAATTCCGCGCTCTCTCCGAGGATGCGCCGTACACGCCGCCCAAGGTCACCAAGAGCCAGGCCTACAAGAACATCGTTGCAGCGCAGAGCAAGTTCGAGGCAACGCGCAGAACGCAGAATCCACATTCTAATCATCCAATCCCTCCCCCACCCGTCTCACCCCTGCGACGGAGGCGGATGGGGGAGGGTTGGACGATTAGAATGCTGATCATGCGTTCAGCTTCCCAGGCACAGATCACGGCGCCTGGCGTCGGCATCTCGGACGACGTCGAGCTGGCGTGGACCAACATGATGAAGCAGCACTTCATGTCGGACGACTTGAAGCAGCTCCACAAGATGGGCAACATCTCGCACGGTGAGAGCGTCGGCGAACCCGAGGACTTTGGCCCCAAGATGGTCATCAAGAGTGAGGAGGAGGCCAAGGAGTTCGAGTTCTGGACGAACATGAGCTCCTTGAATTTCAAGGTCAACACTGATGGTGGTCGAGGGAATCCGGTGGCGGGGAGGTGGCAAAGAGCGCTGGACGGCGACGAGAACCTCAGGCAGCGCTACGAAGCGACCGTCGGGAGGAAGAAGAGGCAGGACTTCAGGAGGGACTGGTGCAAGGCCAAGTACGACGACTACATGATCGAGCACTCACGGACGACAGAGGAGGTACGCAAGCAGTGGAAGAACAGTCGATACTTGCCCATCGGGCGCATCGCAGTTGAGGAGGGAGGAGGAAAAGCAGGGTGGTTGCAGGCGCCAAGTTTGCAATGGACACTCGGAAATGCTCCTGGTGTAGTAGCTACCATAATGGTTCGGGATCACCTTTTACCAACTCATCCTAACAGAAATGTTAAACCCTAGACCATGTCCCGCACCATTACCATAGCTGCTACACCAGGAACATTCCGAGTGCCAAGGCAAACTTGGGTCTGCGCCTGGCAGGCATCTAAGTATTTCTGGAAATGCATGGGTCTCGGAGCTCCATGGATCAAATGGGATGATATGACAGAGAGCCTTCGGGCTCTCTACGTCGAGACGGGGCTGACGGAGCTCTTCACGGAGACGTGGCGCACCCACGAGAAGTGGGTCCAGTCTTCGCACGAGGGCCCGAGGCCGGAGCTGAACGCCGCCAGCCAGACCGAGACCAAGGGCGCGGCGGCAGCGGCAGGCGCTGGCGGCGCCACCACAGGCAAGGGTGCTGGCAGCGGCAAGGGCCGCAAGGTGGCGCGGACCGTGAGGGAACACTTCCTCCTGCTCGACCCTCCCCGCCTGTTTCCCCCACTTCACATCCTCCTCCTCATCGTACTTCTCCTCGTTATCTGTTCCTCCTACTCCTGTTCCAACTGGCCACCTTCTCCTCCTCCTCCTCCTCTTCCTCCTCCTTCTCCTCTTCCTCCTCCTTGTCCTCCTCCTCCTCCTCCTCCTCCTCCTCCTCCTCCTCCTCCTCTTGTTCGCCTTTCTGCTGCTTCTCAGTCTCTTCCAAGGGCGCTCGGGCGGGCGTCGCCGAGGAGAGCAACGCCGCGGCAGCTGGAGCAGCGCAGGGCGCAGCCGGCGAGGGGGAGGAGACGGCCGAGAAGCGCAAGGGCAACACCCCAGCCAGGAAGGAGGCGATGGAGCTCGTGAAGCAAGTGAAGGCAGCGGTATCTCGTCACGCTTCGGTGACTGCCCAGGCCAGTACGCTCATCCACCAGATCGACAACTCCAAGGACTGGGAATGGGCCAAGCAGGACGCGTTCAGCAAGCTCTTGAGGGACACGTACAACGACCTGAGCGAGCGCGTGTCCAGCAACCCGAACATGGCGATGGCTCTGACGAAGGACGTGGCCCAGCTGAGGAAGGCCTTGAACGACGTCGAGTTCACCAAGCTCGCGAAGGACTTCAGCCACCTGAACCAGGCGTACGAGACGGTCGAGCAGCAGGTGGGCATCCTCATCGGCTTCGACAATGTTCGGAAGCACGGCAAGGACGGTGCCGCGGCCCCCAAGGCCAAGGCCAAGTCGAAGGCCAAGCGCAGCACTGGGTGATTGCTGAGCTGCACACGGCTGCGCAGATTTCACTGCGCCAATTTCGAAGGCTCTGTTCCCGATCAGCGAGAACAGCTGCCATTAGGAGGCAGTTTTTCCGTGCTAGACCCACCTGGTCTTTAAGTGGAGAGGGGATATAATGAGAACGTGTGAAAGGGCGAGGGGGAGGAGGCGGAGGGAGGCAAGGCGGTGAGGAGGAGGTCGGCGAGGCAGACAGTCACGGGGCTAGACTGGGGGACGACAATATTCAGAACAAAACACTACAACACCACACACATACCACAAAAAATGCACCAACACTGCGAAAACGGCACGAACAACATACAACGATGCTAAACAATGGCAATTCTTCAAAAAAACATGGCAACATAGGCGTTGGATTACCGTTGGATTTGCCGTTGGATTAGACCGTTGGATTAGCGTTGGAACACCGTTGGAATTCACCCTCAAACCATATATATATATATGATTTACGCATCACACATATAATCAACATGCGCGTTGGATTAGCGTTGGATTGGCGTTGGATTAGCGTTGGAGTTCCGTTGGAGTTCTGGTGGGGTCCTGCACGGTGCTTTTCCAGACATATTTGTGGGAAAGTGCAGTTGCGCGGTCAATTTCTGTTGCTGCTCTGCCGCGCGCCAGCCGCAGGAGAACGGGCCGTCAAATTCTCGCTCTCGCAGGCTTGAATGTGAGCTGCTGCACTTGTGCATGGCTAGTTGCCCGTGATGTATCACGGTGACGAGCAGCGCTCGAACTCTTAGAATTCGTGAGAGGCTATGCTGCTGGGAGCTCACGTGCTGATATGTGTATTTTCGAGACGTTCGATGTCATTTCGTCCATGTGCACTCAAGACAGGGTGAACGAGAAGTAACCCTTCCCCTTCGTTGGCCGATCTCTTCCAAGATGGCCCCAAGAGGTGCCCAGGAGGCCACGAGGGGATCCAAAATGGCTCCAAAATGGCACCAAAAGGCCCCTAAGAAGACCCATAGCGGCCCCAAGAGGTCTACCCGAGGCACCAACGGCGCCCAAGAGCCCTCCAGGACAGCCGACAAACCACCAAGGCGTTCCAAGAGGCCTCCAAGCAGCGGCCAAGAGAGATCACAAGATGCTTCGAGAGGCATCCAATATACTTCTAGCCCTTTTGCGTACCCTCCTCCTCCTGCTCCCCCTTTCCTCCTCCTACTCCTTCTCTTCCTCCGCATCCTCCTTGACATCCTATTCATCGTCCTTCCCCTCACTCCCTCATGCATACATCTAGCCTCCTCCTTCTCCTCCTTCCTCCTTCGCACGGGTCGGCCGTCCACCTCGTTGCTGCTGCGCATCCCTGATCACCCCAACTCGCCTGGACATCGTTCCTGGATGGGCCAGTGGGGATACGCGAAGCGTCACGAATATGATAGGCGTCACATGGTTACTGGAGGGTCGCACTTCGCGCTGCCCCTCGGGAGCCCCCAAAAAGGCCAAAATGGTGCCAAAACCGTAGTCGAACCAATGAGTTTGGCTTCCTCGCCGAGGCCGATATGTTTGGACGCTTTAACAGCCCGCGACGCGCCCCGTCCAGGTCCAGGGGAGGGGGCAAGGGGGGGGGGAAACCCCTCCCCAAAGGGGAAGAGGGAGGGGTGGAAGAGGAAACGCTCTAAACCATCTACGCCCAAAAGGCTGGTGGGATTCTTGCTTCCCCGAGGCCCCCACCCCAATCGCCCGAGTCCCGACCCGTGCCCAGCTTGCCCGCGCTGGGCTAACACGGCGTTCCACGGCGTAAGCCAAACGAGAAGACGATGCAGATGATGCTGATGATGATGATGCTGATGATGATGATGATGATGATGATGATGACGACGATGATGGTGGTGATGCTGATGCTGATGATGAGGAGGACGATGGATGATGGTGTGGTGCTAGCAGGGAGGTAATGGATGTATGATACGAGATGGTGTTGGTACATTGTTTGAACTCAGATGCGATGATATACTGCTGCAAGTTTTTGTACCAAGCCTAACGTTAGAACCATGCCACCAGATAGAAGCCGCAGTTCCCGTTGCACGTGGCACGCACATGGCAATACTTCAGAAACCAGGACAGCTGGCGCTGAACTGATGCGGCTTGTGATGAGCATGTACGGCGCTGCACGTATCACGGCGATCCAGCGTTGTCGGATCTGCCAGCTTGCCCATGAGGCGCACGTGCCTGGAGCTGATTGGAAGAGATATGGCAAACCTGAAGGCTTGCAAACGGGAAAGTACCAACGTCACCTTGACCAGATGTTGCCTCAACCCGATCACTTGTACTACGTGACTGTGCCCCTGAACCCCAACAGGTCTAATCATCGAATTGCGAAATCCGTTCCCATTGCGTTGGGATATGAACTGTTGCTTGAGGAAATGAAGCACTCGCCCGACACGATGCGCATCCTGACGATGGATCCCCAGGTGCGGCCAGAATCTGTGATGAGTTTGCCAGTCTATCAGAATCACAAGTGTGTCAAGGAGGCGTCGGAGCTAGGGCGATTGCCTCCGTTGCCCTTGGCGCTATACGTTGATGGAGTATCATACCAGCAGCAAGCTGCTGGTAGGAGCGACAGCGTCACTGGGTGGTGGATCGAGAACATGATCACACGAAAGAGGCACTTGATCGCTGTTCTACGGAAGAGCGACGAGTGCCAATGCGGCTGTCGCGGCTGGTGCTCGATTTACCCATTGCTGAAAGGAATAGCGTGGCAGCTCGGCGCGATGGCTGCGGGCAAACGGCCCGATCGCATGCACAATGACATGGCGTGGCCAGACGGACAGGCGCCGCCCGAACCAGAGCTGGGATTTACTGCGTGTGTGTTATACATCAAGGGCGATTGGTGTGAGCACGCGCGCACCCTAGGATTGGCATCGTGGGCGCAGGGGCACAATCCGTGCCAGTACTGTGAGCTTGGGAAATCAGAACTGCATTCGTGTGCCCATCAACTTGGCCCAGACTGTCCATGGCCGCTCAGAGACGACGGCGACTACGAACGGATTGTGGCAGCATGCGAGGTGCAAGTTCTTCTCGCATCGAGAGATCACGTCGATGCAGTTCTGAGCGCGCTCAGGTGGCTGAAACCATCGGGCGCAAAACAAGCAAAGGCCATCAGAACACGTGGGGTCATCAGAGATATAGTTGTCAATGGGGTGCAATTGCGAGATCAGGATCGGTTGGAGCCGTCGGACGACTTGGATGATATTGCTCAGCTGCATCGCATCAAACTGCCAGCAACCATCATTTTCTGGCGCGCTCGGCAGACCAGCGGCGGCACTTTGATGGATGCTGCCCAGCATCGGTGTCCACTTTTTTCTCCTTCGCTGGGCACGACGCCGACGCAGACGTTGGCAGTCGACTCCATGCACAGCCTCTACTTAGGAGTTATTCAAAGGATGGTCTCGGCATGTTTGTGGCGCATTATGTTACATAACAGTTGGCAGTTTCAAGGTACCCAGGCTGGCAAGATAGAGATGGCATGTCGGCAAATACAAACAGATCTTCTGCAGTGGCAGCGGGATCCAGGAAATAACATAGCCCACAACCTCAGGCTCAGGAACCTCACCCTCAAGATGCTAGGCAAGCAGCGCGGTTTCAGCCATCAGGACCTCAGGGACTAACATTTCTACTACGTTGAATCCTGGTCAGATCTGCGCCTTCTGGGGAGAAGCCAGAAGGCGCGGAGATGGACGGGATGTAAAAAGTAAACCATCCCCACCACTGGTTCCAAATTAGCTTGCCCGCCAGAACCCACATCATGGAGGTGGAGGCGTCAAGACCAAAGCGGTGGAGACACGCTTGCTGCTTGACTTTGTTATGCACGAGCTTCGCCAAACAGGTGGTGCCCAACTCTATGGGGCGCCTCTGCTACAAGCAGGCGTGGCTCTACAACAGATCATGAAGCTGATCTCAGAGAACCCCGTCAAGATGAGTGCTGGCGTGCGCCTGAAACTATTAGAGCATATGAACATGCACATCCGGTGCTGCACGGCCACAGGCATCGACCTGACCCCGAAGCATCACTTGTGCTGCCACCTCTTCGACAGGACACCGTTTGT